TGACTTTTTTATCCTTGCTTCTAAATACTGATTTTGATTCTTTTACTGTACCTGAGTCAAGAGATACAATATTAACACCTTGCTGATTGGCTATTTTGAGCCAGAACTCCCTCATACAGCTGGCTACTTTGGTCAGCAAGTTGTTTAAAATTACTTGAATTAATGTAAGTGCAAACACAAGTTACCTCGTGACCAGTCAGCTAACATGCAGATTCATTCCAGTTTTACACCAAGAAGTTTCTCCTAAAGCCTTCATCGATCTACTTGCGTTTCAGTGCTATTATCTCTTCTATATTACCTCATACTATATTTTTTTCAAGTAGTTGTTTACAGAAAGCCTTCAAGACATTTTTAAAAAATCAGTATTGCTGAAAACACTTGTCTTTATATTATGGTCCTAGCTGCATGGTATTGTAGAGCTTTTTTTTTCTTCTGTGGCAGAATAGTATATATTTTAAGTATGTCTCCCATAAAAGGGCTGGTATGCTGTTGTGTCTTCCTATTGTACTTATCTGAGAAACAGCAAGAGGATTTATACAGATTACCACAAGTAGAAATTTTAAAAGAGCATAAATTTAAAAATAAGTATAAATTTTTAAAGATCATTCTGAAAAAAGCTGAAGAATTTTATAAATAAAAACTTTTTTTCCTAAATCATATCATTAAACTTTCATGGTTGTATATTTTTTCTAAATGATTGAAAAAGTCCAGCTGGTATGAATAAAGACAACAGACAAACAGGTCCAAAAACCAATGGCACAAATCTTTGCCATTCCAGAGGGTTTGAGCCCTGTGTACACAGAGGCTCGGGAGAGTTCTGTGACTTGCCCAAGGTTACACAATTAGAGGCAGTCAAGACTGACCATCTATTGAACAAACATGAAAGCAGAAGTCTTCTTTTTAGATGGTGATGTTTCAGTTCTGATCTTAGGAGGAAATACTGTTGGTCCTTAGGTCAAATTCGCTATAAAAATGATCTGTTTTGACCTGAGAAGTTAGGAATTCCAGTGTCAAACATCAGATGGGGGCAGGGTTCAGAATTTTTGAGCACCATGTAATTGCTATGACTTCATGAAATTCTCTGGAAGACACAGTACATAGGTAGCTATAAAAGCAACTTCAAGGCAAAATTTTATTTATACTGCAGATATACTTCACCAGCCTCCTCATCTCCCATAAAAGATCTTAAATATCAAAGGCAGTTTTTAAATGTTTTTTAATTTGTGTTTTGTAAAAAGTATAGACCAGTGATTAATGTATCAGACTTGCTACTTGGCGCCATATTGAGTCCCCGAAATGACCTGGCATGATGAATGATTCTTCTTCAAAGGATTAATGAATGTGTAATAAGTTTCCTTTCTTTCTTTTTCTAGCCAAGGACCCTTGTCATCCATTAGAGCGGTAATCAAGAGATGTAAGTTTGTTTTTTCCTGCTCTATGTTTTCCTCTGTAATAATTTTAAATGATGGTTTAGATTTCTAGCAAGCGATTGTGTTTGATGAATCTTACGAAGAATCCAACAAGGGGAGCTTCTCCTAAGGAGTAATAGGCCATTTCAGACATGCAGCTAGTTTTTCAACTTTCTTTTTAACTTTCATTCATTTATAAGCCAGTTCCTCAGAACAACATTTTTCTCTTATAGAACTAAGTTGTTAAAAAAAAAATCTGGATTATCTAGTCAGTTTCTATGATTTACTATAAATTTTATGTAACCATTTTCTATGGGTCGTGACATCTCATGGGTTTGAAAAATACCAAACAAACCCTGTCCTTTTTTATTTATTTGCTTCCACAGTATTTTTACTTATCTGTAAAAATGCCTATGTAGATCGGCTCACACTTCTACAAGGTAGAAGTTCCGTAATGGAATTCTATCCAGAATGGTAGAGTCATACTTACTAACTTTACCTCTTGGTTAAAGCATTAAAACGTGCTCTTGGTGTGTAGGATTTTAACATTCTTTTTTATAAAGACTCTGCAAAGATCCCTTTTCCAAAAGGAACATGGTTTACCCATTATAAAAAAAGATAAGGCAAGGATTTTAGGTGTTCTTCACTTTTTTGAGCTGAGATCGCCACCTAAGGGAGATATATACTACTTTTAGAAACATAATTTATAATATGCAGTATGAATTTAGGATACCCACGGGTCGTGAAGAGCATGCATTTGATCTCTTTGCAGTGAATAATTTGTAAGGTGGCAGTACGGAAAGATACTCCATAGTTTCTGCGTTTCCCCACATTTCATTTTTGTTGTTGGTGAATTGTAAGCATATGGGGCTGCCACAGTTTGTGTTGAAGGTAGTTCAGATATGAAAATAAAAAATTCATGACAACTTTATATGCCTTCGAGTGGGGAGAGAGAAGGGGCAGGGAGGTAATTTAAATAGGAAATTAGCGCCTGGAGTTTAGGCAAGTATTTCTTTCTGAAGATGCAGTTCAGGGGTAATCAGGGTAATAGGCCAGATCCTGGGAATCGCTGACCATTTAGGGAGGACATGCAGAGGATAAAATGATGGCGAGGGATAGAATCTTGGGAAGTTATGTCTGGGACCAACCTATGTCTGCAGGGTGCTGTAGGGCAAGAGATGCACGCCCCAGACGCCCAAACCTACCGAGGAGAGGGCTTCCTTTCATGAGTCCTGTCTGCTGGCTCCTGCCTTCGTTCTCTGGCTTCTTACCTGTCCTTTCTCTTGGGCTTCAGGACTTCTTTGTTGGGCGTTGTAATCTGTACCTGACTTCCCATTGATCCTTCAGCATAGATCTTGCTTACCCTGAGGCCCCGTGCCATGCAAGGCTTAAGAAGAAGGCAGCTAAGGAGGAGTGGGCAAAAAAGGCTGAAAAAGCATAATAGAAAAACTAGGAGATGGCTGTGTGTTAGAGGTCGAAGGAAGCAAGGTTTTGGAAAAGAATGAGTGAACCACAAATAGCTCTTAGTGCTTCAGCAAAGTCAGACACAAGGCGGCTGAGAATAGGTCATTGTATTGGGCACTCAGGAGGGCAGCAGTGACCTCTGAGAGAGCAGTTTAAATAGATCAAAGTTGGAAGCCACACTTCTATTTGGACAATGAATGGAATATGTAGAAGCTGGGACAGCTGGGTAGGCTACTCTTTTATTAAATTTGTTGGTAAATAGGAGAAGGAAGGGTTGTAGCTAGAGAAGGGACAAGGGTCAAGCAGAGAGGAGATTTGAACAAGTTCACAGGCTGTTTAGGAAGAGGAATCTTGGAAGCCTCTGGAGGCAGCAGGGAAGGAATCAGTGGAGAGATCAGACTGGAGCCAGAGAGAAGAGGAAGTTGGCAAAGCAGCCCAGCAGAGAGGAAGGAGGAGGTGGAACAGTGGGAAAACTCTTGCTTTGAGGAAACTTAAAAAATTTTTTTTTAACTAACCCAGTTGTCTTTTAATTCTTATGTGTTACTTTGTATACACTAAAGAAATATTTGTTGGTTGTACTTATTACTGAGAGGGCAAACAGATCCTCACATGATGCCATGTAAATACAGAATGAAGAATCACTGTGGCATCCCTTCTCTTTTTCTCTTTGCCCATTCTATAGGAAAAAGTTTTAAACAATTTTTTTTTTTTTGAAAAAAAAGTCTTTATTTCAGAGAGAAGGGGAGAGAGATAGAAACATCTACGATGAAAGAGTCATCGATCAGCTGCCTCCTGCATGCCCCCTACATCATAGGTCAATGCTCAACTGCTGAGCCACGCTGGCCAGGCTGTAAACAATTCTTGTCTTACTCAACCCACTGAAGTGTTGGCTTTATTCCAGACTTAATCATCTAACCCTGCCAAGGAGAAAGACTTGATCACATTTTTAAGGCTATGTTCCTTAAAACAGAGAGGAGATTTGAACAAGTTCATAGGCTGTTTAGGAAGAGGAGTCTTGGAAGCCTCTGGAGGCAGCAGGGAAGGAATCAGTGTATCTGGGAATCTGTATCAGTCTGATTTCAATCAAGCCTTGCGGTCTTTTTTTTGCATTTATTCTCATGAGCCCTAAATATTTTGGGTAAAAACCTTAAAGCATTCCAACTGAATATATCTAGAATTCCATGATTTTCCTTTCATTAACTTTTTAAAGGAAAATTATTCTCTAGCCTGGCCAGGCGTGGCTCAGCGGTTGAGCATCAACCTAGGATCCAGGCGATCAGGGTTCGATTCCCGGTCAGGGCACATGCCCGGGTTGTGGGCTGCAGCCAATCAGTGACTCTCTCATCATTGATGTTTCTGTCTCTCTCTCTCCCTCTCATTTCCTCTCTCTGGAATCAATAAAGATATAAAATAAAATAAAAAAAAGGAAATTATTCTCTGAAAATGAGAAATAGCTAACATTCATTGCCTACTGTAAGTCAGGAATTGTTCACATACATTATAAAATAATGCTCTACATGATAGGTGTTAACCTCATTTTACAGATGGTAGGACACTGAGTCTCAGGGAGGTTAAATGGCTTCACAAGGTAGAACTTAGATGTGAACCTAGACTTCCTGACACTGGTGCCATGAGCTTTCCATTGCATGGGCCTTCTTGATACCATGTCACATGCATCTAGCTCACACCATGTCTCAAGCAAATGTAGTTAGTTATTTTTTACTATTTTGATTTTAATTGGTAAGGATTATAGCAAGGATGCTTATAATGTAATAATCCTTCTGTGTGTTTATTTCTTCTGGTCATTATTTAATCAATATTTTTGAATTATTTAGAATCAGGACAAGCATCCACCTCTCCTGGCTCCACAAGGAGTTAAACTGCTTCAGGGAACAAACTGCTCCTGGCCCTTCCTGTAATGGGCTGTGTGCCCTGGGATAATTCATTTAACCTCTCTGTATCTCCGTCTCCTCATCTGTAAGGTTGGAGTAGGACAATCACATGCTTATGATCCTGGTGGAGTGTAGACGGAGTCTTTATTAGTATTAATATTGCAAATCCAGATCTCAATCTCTTGTAAACAGGTGAATATGAATTTGTTTTGTACTTATAATTTAACCATATGAGCTAGAAAATTTCAAAATCTGTAAAATATGATAGCTTTAATTGAATATACTGCCTTTGTTCTGTGGCTTTAATCCAAAACGCACGAGAGACCATCAGCAGCTTGTAGCAGGGGTTAAAGGGAACATGTTGGTCTGTCTGTATGGGCTTTGGTGGCAAATTCAGTTTTGCTGGCAATGAGTACATCAAATCTGTTTAATCTGGGAAAGTGAGAATGGATTAAGCAGATAGTTAAGAAATTAGCAGGAAGAGTGTGAGATACTACATGAAAATCTGCCATGAACATCTAAAGTGTCTCCAGCTGCTAAACTTGTTCGACGCTTATAAAAATTGCCAGTCATTCTGTAAGGATCAAGAGAGAAAAGAGATTTCATAGATGAGTGAATGTGAAAAAATAATCAGAGCAGGAGAGGGGAAAACAGTGCTTCTGAAAGGATGTAGAGATCTGTGAGTATGACTGGGAGACCTTTTCCCCTCATTTGGCTACTTCTAGAGGGGGCCTGTTACTAATGGCCTCTGATGTGAAAAGGCAGAATCAAGTGAAAAGGCAATGATTTAAAAGGATGTAAATTGACTATTGAGTTTCCTTTTAAGTATATTTATACTTTAATATTGATTCCTATTGAAGTAGCAAATTGATTTTGTAAAATGGTTTTTAGATTTTTTACACTGTTAAAAATTAAAGGTAGATTTTAATTTTTTTTACTGTGGTTATGTGTGTGGATATCTGGTCTCTACAGACATGTCTTTGCCACAACATACTTCTTTACTCCCTGAAACTGGTTCATCAGCTTTTCCTTTCCGTAGAAGTATGCAGAGTGTCGTGGCAAGACAGTCTTGCTCTCGAATTCCTTTTAGAGCATAGGCAACTGGGTTCACTCTTTTCTCCCTTTCCTCTTCTATAACCCCTTCTTTTTTTCCCTTAGCACTCATGAATAGTGCACAGCAAAAATGCCCCGTGGAAGAGGTATGTTTGTGACAATAAATAACGTGATGTCTTGTGCAAGTGCTGTGTCTGCTGATCCTGGCTTTAGTGGTGATGGGGATGTGATTGTAATACTCAATGAGCCTCTGACTTAATGAAACCATTCTTACAAATCAGACACACCACTCTAAGCTTTAGCCTCTCTGTCCTAAATAGACCGATACACCTCAGCTTGGTTTAACTCTTGATAAAAATGTAAGTCACACTAGTTGATGATATGAATACAGGACATCCTCCAACTTGAGATCCAAAGGTTTTGGTTTCAAATATTGGGTTTGCTTTGCCAACCCAGAATCAATTCAGCTGTCATAGCTCTAACCCCAGCATAAAGTTCATTCTCACCTCCCCCCTCTACCCCTGCCTCCCTAGTTTTGTCAACCTCCTTGTTCAGAGAGAATCAGGAGTTAATAGGAGGAAGAAAGAGAAGATTCATACCTCCAACCTTTATAAATCAGAAGAATTGAAAAATTAGAGTATTGGAGGGATATGAAGGTAACTGGTAGAAATAGTTAATATCTGAAACAAATTCCTGATCTTTTCTGTATAGTGTATGAAGATTTTTTAAAAAGATATCTTTAGAATGTACTCCTTGAAAATAGGGGTATAATTCTCTATTGCATATATGTGTAATATGTGACCCTATATGTGACATAGTGTCCAGATAATCTGATAAGATATAATTTAATTTTTAAATACAGTTTGGAAAAATTTAAATGATCCAGCTTTTTGAGATTGAGGCTTGAGAGAAAAATCAGTGCTGCATATATAATATATGCTATAAATGTGTTTATAAAAGTGATTTGAACATTTTTGCATTTATTATCTATTAATTTAAGTACTAAAACAGCTTAAAGATGGTAAAACTCCAGAAAAGTTAGAAAATAGATGAAAATTTGACCACCCTCACTCGCTTTACAATAGAGTTATAAACAAACATTACAAAAGTATAGTCATGGGTAGGAATAATATGTAACAAAATTTTCTGCCCATTGTTATTTCGTCATAATAAAGCTCTTATCATGCAGTTTCTATTTATAACTGTCTCTCTCTCACTCGCTCTCTCTTCATTCATTCTTTAACTTACTTTCAGAACTGCAAAATCTGCTTTGGAGAATTTTTTAAATCTATGCTTGCTTATGAATTCAAACATATAACTGTAATTAACTTTATACCATATGAAAGATCATTTTTACTTGCTTTTCTATTATAGATGTTAAAATCCATACATTCTGCTTTTCCTCCATGTTCCTCTCAGATATTATTCCCTCTAACCTAATTCAGGTATAAAATGCCTTTATATTCTTTCTCTCTTCTATCCTTATCAAAACATTCTCTTTAAGGCACTATCCTGTATCTCTATATCTATAGTCCAGTATGTAGAAATATATCATTTATTAGCTACTGATTTTTAATAACTATAATTTATTTTGCAAAAAATAAATAAGTTATTTTAAATCCTTCAAAAAATTAATATATATGACATCAAGTATAAGTTAATTTTTTTCCAATAATATACCCTATAAAAATTTAAATAGTTATTGAATATACTAATTTTGTACTACATCAATATATTCTTTCTTTTATAGCTGCTCGGACTTCTATTCAGAGTGAGCTTCATCGAGATAGGAGGTATGGTTATATTTATAATAGAAGGTATATATTCTGCTAATAATGAAATGAAAGTGTTATCAGTTAGCAAGTTAAATATTTCCCTTTCATAAGCAGTGTATTACAGCATTCTGCCTCATCAGTACATTTCCTGAATTAATCTATAAGTTTGAGTGATGGAGATTTTGCTTGAAAGAAGAAGCAATACAAGCCTGAAAGTGTTCTTTTGAGAGTAATTATTTACTGACATGAATTTGAAAATGTTTATTAAGCAACTACTATGCATAAACCATTATTGGAACTGCTTTAAAAAGTACTTTGTACCTCATAGCTACTCAGTATATGTTGCATAGATAAGTGGATGGATGACAGGATAGAAAATTGAATGGAAGATAAAGAAAGGAAAAGAGGCGGGCAGGCAGGCTGGATCGATGATGGCTGGCTGGAGAAAGGGAAGGAGGGGAGGCAGGAGGACTGAGTCACTGGATACATAAAAGGAACGACAGATAGATAGAGGGCTGAATGGATGGAAAAGGTCAATGGGTGGATAAGCGGATGGATGGGTTTTTGTAAGATATCCTCCCTGCTTTCAAATTTCTTATGGTATAGTATTGGGGAATGAAGAACAAGTACTTTAGAGTGAGACATTACCCAAGGTCAAATCCTAACTTTACTTTCTCACAGCGTGACCTTGGGCAAGCTACTTAACCCTTCCTAACTTCGATATCCCCATCATTAAGGTGGTACAACCTTATAAGGTTGTCATATGGATTAATGCACGTAGAGTGGTTAATATTTGTTAATTAGTAACTTATTATTTAGTTAGACAAAAGATATAAGCAGAGGTTCTTAGGTAATACCATTCAAATTTAATCAATGAGCAGGTTCCACCATTTCACAAGCTAGCATGAGAGTGTGTCCGTGCACAGTTTTGATAATCATAGTGCTTTTTGTTTTTGTTTTTTTGTTTTTTGCACAGAGTGCTAGAGAAAGGAAGAGCAGGTACCATCATCTCTATTTGTTTGGACAGAAAATTGAGGCCCAGAGAGATTGATTGATTGGCTCAGTTACACAGTTGGTATTTGTTAGGAAGTCAGGTTTAGATTTAAACATGAAACTATGAAATCAGGTTAAGACAATGATGAAAGAAGCCATGCCTAAATCACTATGGCTCCTCAGTGTTAAAGATTAGTCATCAAATTCGTCTGTAAAACTGATGAGGAACACAGGCACACACGCCAGGGTCTAGAAATGAACATGTGAACTCTAAACACTTAACAATAACTTTGAATTGGGACAGAGATGGAGTGAGGGGGAAAAGGGTATTCTATTTACATGGTATCATTTTCAAGTCTATACTTTATAATAACAGAAAATGAAACAATTCTATTTGAGCAGTATACTTTTCTACCTTATCGTGTATTTATCTTTGTACTATAACCTAGATAGCAGAGCCCTGGAATGAAGAGCTTGTATGGGCCTTATTTAGTCCATATTCTTATCAACCAAGTCAGAGCTAAGTGTGGTTAGGGTATATCTCTAACTTTTTGAGGCCAAAATCGTAGAGGATGACTGCCGTTTGATCCCTTGAAGCCTGCTTGGGTGTACTGTTAGAGACAGCCCAAGCCAGACAGGTCATTTCTGTGACTATGGTAGTTCCTGTCTAACTTTTTTGGGTGGTAGTTGTTTTCATGAATCTTTGAACATAGCTTGTTACCAACCTTCAAAATCTCACTGAGGCTTCTGTCTGCTAGGCGCCCGGAGATCACCATTGTGGCAGCTGAGCCGCTGAGGCCAGCCTCATGGTTTCCAGGAGCCCCACCCCCAGGATTGGGATTTCCCTCGTCCTCTGCAGCAGGCCCTTGGAGGCCCAGTGAGCTGGTTCCTGCTGAGGTGAATAAGTACCACATTATCTCTTTGCATTTTATTTTTTAAAATGAAGTTGAAAGATTAGAACAGTGAGATTATTAACATGTTGGCTGGCACCCATAAATGTCTAAAATCTTCATTCTTTATGTTACAGCTCCCACCATCTTATGAACAAGTCATAAAAGAAATCAACCAAGTTCAAGTTAATACTACAAATAATAATAATGCTGCTGCCTCTCCAAGGCACACTATTACTTCTGCAACTCAGACTGACTTTTCAGAAGAAATAGACAACCATCTGCCTCAAAGTAATGCAAGTAATTTATCTTCCCTAATTCTGACCTAGTTTTCTAGGAAAGTAATCAGTAGACTCTAGCCTTTAAAATAATTTTCAACTCATACATAATTTATTGAGCTCTGCTTCCTAGTCAGTGTGATCATGTGTGCTTTCTTTATTTGAGTTTGCTGTGATTATAATAGCTCATTCTCAGAACCCGAAGCTCCAATCTCTTGGGCTCACCTTAATTCATATCACAAAACATCATCCTTTTAACTCATGGTTGTTATTACTGCTGATGCTCTTTATTCCCATCGGGAAGGATGTTATATTTAGCAACTTAAACTTGGTAGGATGTTAACAGTGGTTGTCCTGTTAGGCTTTTTAAAAGCATTGTATCAGGATAACAGATGAAAGTAAGTTACTTTGGAAAGTAAAGCAAGAACCGTTGGAATTTTGATAGCAAGAGAGAAATGATTTGTATGATAAGTCTACTGAGAATCCGAAATGTAATGGTGTTTTAAAATATTACAAAATGAGTATTTCTTATATGAGTAAATATAACTTGAACACTCGTGCAGGAAGCTGAGTATAAACATTTTCCCATTGATTTTGGAATTACATTTTACTAACTAAGGAAACCAAATTCTCTTGATACTCTACATGTATATCTTTAAAAAATCTGTGTGTCTTCTGTTATGTTTTTAAGTTATAATGTTGCAATTTCTTTTTGTTCATTTTGGTCTTATCAGCACTACAGGCACCTCTCAAACCTCTTCAGCCTCCCCTAGGGGTCTCAGCCAGTGATCTTCCCACAAATGTGGCGCCTTTAATAGTCTTTGACAATTCTGAAGAACAGAATTGTCCAGAAAACTCCAGTGCTATAAGATGTCCAGTGCCAAGACCAAGATCAAAAAGCAACCTCAGACCAGTAGCCAGAGAAACTCACATTAAAAAACAGAATCTCCAGATCAGCCCAGAGACCACAGAAGAGGAGTCGTCTCCCAGCCGACCCCAGTCTCTGCTGGACTATACCAGTGACTTGGATAGTCAGGCAGCGATGAACATTATGAACACAGAACAAAGCCAAAATAGCATTGTTTCAAGGATTAAAGCATATGATGGTCAGACAAATACAGAAACCTCTGGACTGCCCAAGAAACCAGAAATTGCTCCCCGTGTACTACCCCCAAAGCCTGCTCTTCCCTCAGGAAAACCCTCCATAGCTCCCAAACCAGCTGCTAACAGAACTTCTGGAGAATTGGACTCCTGGAATGAAAACAGACACATGGTGGCCCCTAGGGAAGGGCTCACCTCACACTCTCCACCGCAAGAAGTAGGGAGCATCCCAGTAACCAAACCTGAATTGCCAAAGAAACCAAATCCTGGCCTTACACGAAGTGTTAATCATGAGCTTCTGGGAGGAGGGCTGGTGGCTGAGAGCCCTGATAGCAGGAAGAGAGTCCCAACTCCTGCTCCTCGGCCTTTGCTGCCGAAGAAATCAGTTTCCTCAGAAAACCCCACCTGCCCTGCAGCTTTGCTGAAACCAGCCACTGTTCCTCCCAGGCCCTCAGTGGCTCCACAAGCCAAAGCATTCAGGTCACTGGGCGAAGGATCCTCAGCCAACCACCCAGTCCCAAGTCTGCCAAGCAAGCCTCCAGGGGACATCGACCTCATCAGCTTTGATGATGATGTCTTACCCACCCCACCTGGGAACATGGTTGAAGACTCTGTTGGTTCGGAGATGGTTCTGGGTGAGTAAAAGTCAGACGTGGAGGGGAATCTAAACTAATCATAGGGTCCCTCGAACGGCATTTGCTGTTTTAGTTTCCAGTACATACGTTATTGAAGTATGTCTGTGCATGTGTATGTGTAGACAGGGTGAAACAGAGAGATTAAGAAACATGGAACTGGGTAGGAGATGGAAATCGAGAGGGAAGGGAAAGTATGGGATGAGGAGATGGAGACAGAGAAGGAGGGAAACATACATTGATTACTATTATACAAGCCAAGAATGAGCAGCCTGGGACTAGGGACTAAACTAGGTGTGAGGCTGGCTCCCTTACTCTGGCAGGTGGAGATTCAAGCATTAGAAGGAAGGAGGGGAAACTTCTCATGGATGGGAAGTCATGCAATGGTCCCAGAAGGGCTCCTGAGATTGAACTAGCCCTGCTGGGAGTCCCTGAAAAGGGGCTAGCCCTGGGGAGGACTCTGGCAAGAGCAAAGCAAGGAGTAGGGACCCAGCCATATGTTGCAATTTTTTCCTCCCATAATCTTTTTATAACCTCTTCCCTTGAGAATGCAAAGTTTTGTAAATAAATGAAACAGTTGTAAGTTTCCTGCCAAGATCAGGACAATTAAATTTCCCAAGAGGCAGAGAGTATTTTCTCTCTCTCACTTTCTTCAACTGGAGGGTGTGATGGCGAAGCTTATCTTTGATTTGTCAAACTAAGCTGCTCTACTTGTCATTAATAAGATTTCTTCTACTGCTTTTTACTTATTTGGGTAGAATTTTTATCGTATAAGCTTAATGGTATTTTCAAAAGGTTAGCTGTCAGCTTTAAAAATGTTTATCATGAATCAATGGTATATAAGCTCTGTGATTCAAAACTAGATTCTGCACAGCATAGGTGTATTTCAATGATAACAAATACATATTTATTAAATGTTTATCATGCACACAACATGGTAGCTGACTGTACCATGCTTTTTTCATAAGGAGTAGAAGGAAAAATGTTAGAATATATTGAGTTTCCACAGTGTTCCAAACCCTCTGCTAGATACCCTGACATCCATTATTTAATTGAATACTAACAGTAACCCTCTGCAAGCTATCATTAGCCTCAATTTTCAGATGAAGAAAATGAGGCAGAGAGAGATCAATGGGTAACTTGCCCAATGTCATAAGACTATAATTTTCCAAAGCAGAATTCAAACTCAGTCTTTTTATTTAAAAAAAATTTTTTTTTTAAATTTATTGATTTTAGCGAGAGGAAGGGGGGGGAGAGAGAGAGAGAGAGAGCACACAGAAACATTGATTTGTTGTTCCACTTACTTATGCATTTATTGGTTGAGTCTTGTATGTGCTCTAACTGGGGATCTAACCCACAACCTTGGCACATCGGGCCAACACTCTAATCAATTGAGTTCCCCAGCCAGGGCACTCAATCTTTTTATTCTAAGTGCAGTAGTTTTTTTTCACTATATCATGTTGCTACCCAACATTTTCATGAAGCCTTAAACCAGGCAACACATTAAAAACTTTTCAAGTCTTGGTTATATCATTTTCTTACTTAAACCTTTTTGATGTTACAAGGTTCAGGGTTAGGACAGGGATGGGTAAATCCAACAGCAGCAAGCTGTTTAAGGGCTGGAAACTGTATAGGCCAAGAAAGATCTCCTTTTGTAGAACTTCCCAGATGCTGTGGGAATGGCACTTAGTTAGTAATTGCTGAGACTATATTCTGTGTCATTAAGCAGATAATTACAGTCATCTTCAAAAAAGAAAGGTCAACAATATACCTTCAACATGAATGCAGTCTCATGCTTCATCCTCAACCTTTTGTGTCTTGATTTCTACACTTCATTGCACAATGTTTAATTATTGAGTCAGTCTTTTAGCAAAATGTGTAACTTGCTTGCCCTACCTAACTTTAACCATTGCTCTTTTTTTCTTTTTTTAAATATATCTTTATTGATTTCAGAGAGAGGAAGGGAGAGGGAGAGAGAGAGAGAAACATCAATGATGAGAGAGTCATTGATTCGCTGCCTCCTGCACGCCCCCGACTGGGGATCGAGCCCGCAACCCAGGCATGTGCCCTGACTGGGAATCGAACCATGATCTCGTGGATCCTAGGTTGATGCTCAACCGCTGAGCCATGCTGGCCGGGCTAACCATTGTTCTTGACTGTGGAGTTACACTGAACTGAATACCTTATGTTCTTTCTAACCTGCTCCTCTTCTATGTTCTGCTTCTCTCTTGGTGATACTGTCAGACTCCCAGCCTCCCCTAGAGAATCCTAGAGATTGTCTTTGAGTCTTCCTACTTGTCGCACAGTGGCTAGTTGTTTGGACTTGGAGTCAGACTGGCCTGGGTCTACTTAATTAGTATATGACCTTGGGCAATTTACTTAACCCCACAATGCCTTGGTTTCCTCATCTATAAAACATGATAATAATACTCCTCAAGATATTGCAGGGATACATGGTGATTATGAAGGAAAGCCCTATCTCATGGTCTGAAACGTGTTAAGTGCTCATTAAGTAGCAGTTGTTGTTACTTCTTGCCCTTCACATCCAATTGGTTACCGACATCTACTGCTTTACCTTCTGAATCATTCTTGAATCTTCATCTCAATTTCATCCCTCCTGCTACTGCCCCACTTTAGGCCTTTATGCCCAGGTGACTGCAGTGGCCTCCTGAGTTGATCCCTCTTTCTTCCTCAAACGCAGCATCGACCATGTTATGGCTACCCATGCGATTCTTCTAGAGTGTACATTGGACCTTGTTGCTTCTTTGCTTATTGCCATCCAGAGGCCTTCAGGATCATCTCTGAATTCCTCAACATATAGAGGGCTTTTTGTTTCTTTTTTGATTTGGGCTTTGTGACTTTTTGATGGTATATCAGTAGCACTGTCTTTGTAAATAAAGGATTATGGTCTCTTTGTGAAACCTTGCGTAAGCATCCTGGCATGAGCCAGAAACTGGGAGAGGAACACAGAACAAAGGAGAGCAACTCACAAATACGTCTTTCCTTCTCTCTCTTTTCTGAAAAATAAAGAAAATCTAATAAAATAGTTTTCATAAAATGAAGTTGCCATATTAATCTCAGGAAATAGAGATCAGAAAATACTGTAGCTATGAAAACATTGTAAAGATTAGAAAATTTATTAAAGAAAAACTCATAAAGCCAGCAATTTAATATTAGATTCATTTCATGGGTAGAATGCCTTCCAGGTTAATGTAATGGAGCTGAGAAGTGTTAGCAATTCCTCTTCACACCTTTACAAATCATATCCAGTTGTCAAAAAAAAGCAGAATACTTCTGCTGTCAGCCCCATTACACAGACCAGAATAATAGTTTAGCAATCAATTTCTGCTATTAACAGAACTCAAGGGAAAGAAATGACAGAAAAGCAAGCCAAGAATGGTGAAACTAATTATGATGACAAGCATATTATTAGAGACAGGTAATGGGCAGAAAACTACATTACCATCAGTGTTTTTCTCAACCCAGTAATGAAGAGTGTGCGGATATCTGTGTAAAGGGGCCTGTGAGTTTGGCAGCAGGTGGAGAACAATTGGTTATGTGTATGAGGGGCTAGAAAGAGGGCAGAATAAACACTAAAAATCAAAGTAGAGAAAAATGCCATTGACCTTCCTGAGATCTAGACAAGAGATTCTTTTGGAGAAACTTTGTGTTTTTTCTGTAGAAGCCAGAGCAAACAGTCAGTAATGGAGAGACTTGTTGCACTGCGGTTCTTACCCCTTTCCGGACCACAGAACTCTGAGAATCTGATTAGCTTGTGAATCTTCTCCCTCTTTTGAAAAGGTAGTTATATTTTTCAAGGTTACAAATAAGAGCTAATTATTATGAACTAAACCTCTCTAAATTAGACAAATTCAAAAATACATATCTGCATTATTTCCTATTAAATAGAATCGCTGAGGAATAGTCTCAAAAAGAGAGCTTTTATTTTTTTAGTTACTTTGTGGAAAATTTTATGGCCATTATTGCCTTGATAAAGCAACAGAAGGGACAAGAATTTTCACTTTTTCCCCCTTATTTTTAAATGGTTTTTATTTTGGTTTGTTTGACAGGGGTGTTCATCTTACAACTTTTTTCTTGATATCGAATATATTTCATTGGATTTTTTTAGTTACAAAGTAACATATATTTGTTGTAACAACTAAACCAGTATAAACATTTAGTGAAATAAATTAATCTCCAGTCCATCCAAATCCCCAGAGTAACCAGTGGGAACACTGTTGTATGTAGCCTTCTGTGCCTTTAAACATTCCAAACCAAAACTTATAAACAGATATACATACATATACTTTTTCCTGATTTTTACAAAATTAACATGCTATACCCATTACTTCGCAGCTTGCTTTTTTTATTTAACAATGAGATTCCTGGACTTCTCTTCAGACCAGTAGATGCAAGTCTTAAACCAGCCTGAGTGCATGCATCACAGTTGATTAACTTTTCCCCTGTTGATGGACATGCAGGTTGTTTTGTTTGTTTTCAAATTTTTGGATTTTTTTTTTTTTTTTGCTACAACAAAAACCGCTGCAGTTTCTCTCTTAAAAAACATTTTCACTTCTACTAGTGCTTTTTTTTCTGAAGAATAAATTTCCAAAAGTGGAGCTACTAGGTCAAAGGTTATGACCTTTAAACATAAATTTTTTATTATTATTTTTCAGTCACAGTTGACATTCAATGTTATATTAGTTTCATGTGCACAGCATAGTGGTTAGACATTTGCATAGCTTATGAAGCTATCCCCAATAAGTCTAGTACCCACCTGACACCATACATAGTTATTACAATTTTGTTGTTGTTAATCCTCACCTGAGGAATAATTACCAATCATCTGAGTGCTAATTATTAAAGAGCAGCTAATGACATTAAAAATAAAGATCCAAAAAGAGTGGGTGGCTAGGAGACTTTGAATACTTTGTATTGAAGTTTATGTATGCTACTTTAATTTAAATCCTTTAGGTTTAAATAAAATGCCTGGAGCCTTTAATGCATAGTGTGCAGAATTTGGGGCTGGGCTCCCTGAGGCCAGTTCCCCAAAAGCAAGCACATTTGGAT